GTTTCTGACTATCTTTGCCACGACAGATACCATTTTCATGAATGGACACTTCCTGATATCTGAGGCAGGAAACATATCCTTATAGCCTTACCTAATTTCCCTCTGGGATGACTAAAGTATTATTGAATTGAATTGAATTGAATATGGTGTTTTTGGGGTGGTAATTATGCTAATCTCCTCTCGCGTGCACGAGCAGCTGGATAGAACAGGTGGAATTTTACGCAGCTCATTTACACACTTTTCCTGAAGATAGAAGAGTTTGTTGAATCTGACATGACACGTTTGTACGAACCCTTTGTACGAACAAAAGTAAGAGAAATTTAGGATAAGAATATGAACATGTTCTTGCATGAGGCCCAATGTCCCCTGAGTTCCTTCATGTTCTTCCCAGGTTTGTTTTTGTAGTTTGCTGCCTCATCAGCCTTTTTTATTTTACCGTTTAATTAGTGCTGGGCGGTATACCGTTTTGTACCGAATACCGGTTTTTATTATTGTTATGATATGAATTTTATGAATACCGGACATAACGGTTTAAATAGCCTGAACATGTGCGGAGCGTTTTGTCACGGCCGCCAATGAGCTGTTTCCAGGGGGACAGTTTTCCTTGCAGCACCGCTCTGTGCGTTAGCATGCTAATGTTTGGAGCAGCTAGTTGCAGCAGCGGGTGGCGATTCCGCTGCTTATATTGACTGACGTTGACGTTTAAAAAACATCCCGTTTTCACCATCGCTGAATGTAGTAAACACCTCTTCAGTGACGTGCACAGTTAGATTTAACGTGGTTAGTTAATATGGAGACGTTATGCTGATGGAGACTTAACGTGCTTCTATTGTGAAAAGCCCACGGGAAGTAGTTTGTAATGGAATTGGAAATGACTGGTGTGCAAGGTGAGTCGTGCTGAAAATTTTTATTAAATAACATAAAACAATAAACCCGATCATAATCTTTTCGTAACCCTCCTCCTTCACGACCGGACAAAAATATGTGACTACTGTCTACAACCAGGAGGAGAAAAGACACATAGAGGAGGGAAACAGCGACACAGACAGAGGTACAGTAAAAGAAAAAAGTYAATAAGCAGKGTTTGTACATTTTATTATCAGCTGAGCTGTGAWGAAAAGAAAAATACCGTCAAATACCATCAAACCGGTGTAAATGTTGAAAATACCGTGATATAAATTTTTGGCCATACCGCCCAGATCTACGTTTTTAATTTTTGCTTTATCTGAAGCCGTCTGAGATGTCCACACACAGGATCCAATCCTCCACCACACGTAGCATTTTGTTTCAGASAGAAGCTTTTTAGATGAGAAATTTGGGGTCACATTATTGAAATTTTATTATAAATAATTTTTTTATTATTTGGTTTCCTCAGCAGATGATTATCTCTCCCTCCTCGTCATCCTCAGCTCACGCAGCTCTCATCTCGTTCACAGTTTTCTGTTTCTGACTCCTTAATTTCTTCATTCATTATTTTTTATGGGGCCCAACGTACAAAAATAAAAACAAAGCAATACAATTATAATACAAGTATATTTACAAAAAATGTCATTAAAATTAAAGATAAAAGCCAGCACAAAAATAAAAAACAAAGAACATTCACTTGAAAACCCCAAAATGTACATCAACTGGCACTATGAACACTATGAACCAATAATAAATGGATTAAACATGAAACACCATCACCACCTCATCTCCTTTCCAATAACCAACCCTGTWAAGCACCATTAAATATACTATACCGGTCGAACACCTTTAAATCAAAACACACTGTCTCACAGGACAGCTGCCTGTTGGTGGTGACAAGACAAATTTGTGCTCTGCTTCTTTTTTCTTAGTTTTTAGGACGGTGCATCCTTCTTCTTATTCTACCTTTTAACGTTAGCAGCACAACCAGCTCCCATGATAGCTGTTGTTGCGCAGCTTCTTTCCTCATTCATTAAAAAGCTCAAACCAGGGACAGCTTTAGATAAGGACAGGTCATCCCTAACAGGGACTGTCCCTTGAAAACAGGAATGTATGGTCTCCCTGAAGTTTTGCTACTTTTGAACCTTATCTGCCTGCCTTCTTCTCAGCCTGTGAGCCAGTCGTAGCTGAAAACCTGACACGTAGCTGTGTCATGTAGCAGGATGCTAATCCTGACAACTCTCAACATGAGGTTATTCTTCACAAAGCAGAGCCCACCGCTGATAAAATGAACACGCTGTCTGAACCATCTGCTGTTTTATGACGCAGCAGAGCACTTAAACGTCCCGAGTTAAGTGCACTCCGCACACAGCACAGGCCTGTCACTGGCTCTGTTATCAGCATCACTGATGGACACTGAAGAACAAACCCTTCACATGTGGTTTTATTTTGTTCAAAGACAAACAAGATTCAAAATWTGAAAAAAATGTTGGTTTAAAACTAAAGTTAAAGCTTAAACTACAAAAAGCACACAGTTTTCATTGAAATACCCTTATTTATTTTTCTGTTCAAACTTTGTGTTCTGTGTCCTGTTGTTTAGTTGTGTTTTGGTGGCAGCTTAGCCATTTCATGTGGTCTCAGTTCTCTCTACTCGTCATGTTGTTTAAAGTGATCTGACTACTGTCACATGTTGGRCATGTAAACAGAGAGGGACAAGACAGAAAACCAGACTAGAACCAAAATAACACAAGAACCCAGACAAACCATAACACGCCAACTGTCAAACAACGGGACAGTCCTGGATTTGACCCCTCCTGTTCTCGTGATGTCCAAATGTATTTGAGAAGCGCTTCCTTTGCTTTATGAAATATGGTTATTATTGCACAAAGCAATAATAACCATATTTTGGCTGTAGAGAGCAACGTTTAAGTTTTCAGAAACCGGCACAAGTTTTCACAGAGTTACAGTAAAGCAAAGCGCAGAGTGTGAATGTTGGTAGGGGAGGGGGTTGTGTGTGTGTGTGTGTGTGTGTGCGTGTGTGTGTGTGTGTGTG